GCAAAAATAAGAAAAAAGTCCCTATAAATATAGGTCGAGAAATGCCTCCTAAGGGAGCTACAGCCCCCGAAAAGGGAGCCCCTGAAGATGGTTTTTATCTAATATAAATAAAAAAGTAAAAACACCCTGTCACTTACTACATAAAACTGTCACCTGTCTTAAATTATTCTATTTTTTCCTAAACATGGCAGCCGTATTCCAAGGACCACGCGAGTCCATTTCTATGGTTGTGATTTAATTGTGAATTTTTATGCCATGTAAAATAATTTTCAAATCGATTTTATGCGAAAACGGTGTATGTTGTCGAAGTTCAACAAGATGACCTTTTTTATGTGCAAAACTCTAAAATTTTATAATCTGACACCAAATTCTGGTACAAGATACGTCCAAAAAAGTTAAGGTGGTTTTAACCCTACTTCCTATCAATCTGACCCAAACCACATAAAAAATTTTAAATTGTTATTGTTACGTCTTATTGGTCATAAAAAGTTTAATTAATTCCCCAAATTTCATTTTTATATTTTTAACGGTTTTGGAGATATTAAATAAAAACCATCTTCAGGGGCTTTCCTTTTGGGGGCTGTAGCTCCCTTAAGAGGCATTTCTTGACCTATGTTTATAGGGACTTTTTTTCTTATTTTTGCACGTACAATCTGCTGTTAAGGTAGTTGTCGTGCTATAAGCATACCATCAGAAAATTTTGAATTTTTGTATACTTATTAAGGACATGACAATACATATATCCTTAAAATTTGAAGTCGATTGACCGTCTATAACCCGAGATAAATTCAATTAAAAATTGGATAATTAACATGGATTGTATAGGCTTTCTGTAGTTCTGTACCAGTTTCTTAGTTATACAGAAAAAACTAACTGTCAGAAGCTTTCAAAAAACTAACATTGTTTTAATGTATTTTTGCTGAGTTTAAAAAAAAATAATTAAAAATTTTTGACCGTCCAATTGTTTATAAATAACCGTTAAAAGTTCAACAATTTGTAAAAAGTATACATCACTAGTGTCAGATAAAAACAACTTGGCAAGGCTGTACGCGAGTATAGATATAATTTCCGCAGTAAATTCAAACGGACTAATTCAGTCTCCAATATATCTATTGGTTGAGCATTAGCGACGTTGCCGGATTAAAACTTATGAAAATATTTGAAAGTATTACGTAAAAATAACGTCTCCAGGGTACAGTCTTGCGAACAAATTATGAATCACACAGCTACAAGCTCGTGTACTTTTACGGTGCGTATAATCTAAAAATTTTTGACAATATTGTACCACGACAACTACCTTAAAGTATGGTGCACTAATTTCAGGACACCCTGTATAGTAAAAAGCATAATGCACAAAAAAGATATATCTCCAAAAAAATTTATTTTATTTAATTTTATTCAAAATCAATTTTTCTTATTAAGTCTTAATAAGAATCCCATTTTGTAGCCTGATAAACATAAAAATATCTAAAAAAACATGGGTGGGTATATATCTTTTTTTCGTGTAATGCCAAAATCATGAATTTACGCTTTTGCTTTATTAAAAGAAGCGATTTTTGGCTAACCCTGTTGATGATGTGCACAGTATAAAAAAGTATTCTCCAAATCTCCTTAACAATATACTCCAATATTATAAAAATCGGTGTACAAATGTGTACTCTGTCAAAGGTAGACTTTAAGAAAAACAAAAATTAAAAAAACACATTTCAAAAAATTTTGAAAAGAGGAGCAGCTAGGATTTTGGTAAATATCATTTTTAAGTCACCAAAGGGTCCGGAACAAGAAACTGCAATCAGTTTTTGGCGGCATTTGTATGTGACTTAAACTTCGTTCAGGCACACCGTGATCAATGGCATTGTCTGGTAATTTTTATTGTTGTCGCTTTTTCACTGCCTCTTCGATACGCTCACAAGCCACATTTTCATGGAGATCGCAAAAAAATTTCACTGAGCAGTTATCTTAAAATCTTCTTGCTGTTTAAAAGGATTTGTAAAATTAAATTTATTTTTAAACTGCGATGTGGCCTCATCCGAAAAGTAACTTTTTTATATTTTTATGACCAAATTTTTTTTCAAGTAAGTGAATTAAAAAATAAACCGAGTCCGCGTCGTGAAATTATAAAAAAAAAATTATAAATTCTTCAAACTTCGATCTTGAATATCTTTTAAATGGTTAGAGTAATCGCCTAAACACATCAGTTCTTTTTTGGAAAGCAAAGCAGAGTTAAGGCAAACAACTTTTGGGTTTCGAGTCACAGGAGAGGATACACAGTTTTGGTTATAAATGTAATAACGGAAAAAAAGTAAGAAGTAAGTTTAAATTAAGAATCTTTAAAGACATTTGAAATATTTTTTGTTAAGTGAACGGCATTTAATAAAATTTTTCACCTAATATTTTTTCAATTTTTGTAGGGAAAACATGGCCAAATTAACATTTTTTAATTAAAAAAAAAGTAGCAAAACAAACCAGCAGGTTTTTAAAAATTGTATTGTTAATTGCATTTATTTTTTTCCATTCTCACAAATTTTCATTAATTTTTTAAATAGTTTACCTTCAAAAAATATTTTTTAAATCAAATGCTACAGATTTTTTAAATTATGAATTGTGAATAAAAAATACAATTTGTAAAAAAATTGTATGTGGTAACTTTCTACCAAAGGTTTTTTATTAAAAACTTTTTTAATTAATAGCGAGGCATGTGGGTTAGTTATGGAAATGATTTTTATTTTAAATTAAAGTACAATCGATGCCATTATTTATGAAATACGACATGGTTCAAATGTCTGCCGCGGAAGCGCTGGCACGAGTAAATACGCTGGACCCAATTTTCCATGAGTCGAGCACACAAAACGGCCGAAATACCAGAAATTTTGCGTTCAATTTTGGCCTGCAGCTCTTCTAACGTTGCTGGCTTGTTGGCATAGACCAGCGATTTAATATAACCCCAAAGAAAAAAGTCTAAAGGGGGTAAAAATGGAACGAATGAGGCGGCCAGTTCAAATTTCTACTCTGATACAAGTTACATTTTTATAAAACTATACTAGCTTACACTTTTATAAAGCCTACTATAATAGGTTTCAAAAACTAGGCAGAATACTGAAACAAAGGTAAACTTGTTCATTTTCTTGACATTTTGTCAGACAAATGCTGTGTATGTGAAAATAGATGAAATGTGAAAAAATAAACTTTTGGCTTTTCCAAATAATAGAATATGAAAACAATGTTTCGGTGTAAATATCAAGAATCTCGAAATACGTTAATAGAAGCTAATAAAGAATATGAACGAAATCTAAACCGTAAGTTGCTTGCTAACTAAAGAGATTTGAGAGTCGAAATTAAGAACAATGCCTAGGAAAAAAACATTCATCAACATGTTACCTGATCCAAGAATGGAACCTTGTGGTACTCTTTGTTTTGCTTTTTCATTATGGGTATATAGTATACTATGTATACCGCATTTTTATTTGAAATATAAACACTGAAGTGAACCCGATCGCCCCTCCCATTGTAAGCGGATTGCCGTAGGCGACGATTCAGTTATGTTTTGCATTTGCTAGTGTGTATTTCTATTCTATTTTAACATAAATTAATTGCTTTTATTTAAAATTATAAGTTATAATTTCCTACACATTACAAGAGGAAATTGACATGATAAGCTGGTCTTTAGTGGAAAATTTTCCACGTCAAACGAGAGACCTATTCTCAGTTAAATATCCGGATCGTTCTATTCCGTTAATTAATTTATTTATTTATTTATTCATATATTATATCACGATAACTATGAATTTAATCGGTTAAACTAGGCTCAGTAGTTTTTGTTTGGTTTTTCTTGGAAAATGTTGAATGCAAAATAATTTAATAAAATCACGAGACCGCGAGGCGGTCGAGGGGTTTTATTTTTAATTATTTTGCATGAAACTATTTTCCAAAAAGAAAAATCAAATAAAAAACTTACCGAGCATAGTTTGACAGATTAAATTTATAGGTTGAGTGATATACGTCTAGATTATTTCTCGAATTAAAGGAAACTATTTGACAATTCATAAAATCTGACGTATGTGTCAAAATTTATAAATATTTTTTTAAAGAAAATTCCATTAATTTAAGGTATGTAATAAGTAATAATTGATATTTCGTAAACTAGATAACTTATTTTTTATTGTTTTTTTTAAATGTTTGTTAAAACTAAATAACACCATAAAATCGTAAACAAAAATCCAATATGGAGGCTAAAATTTAATCGCTGTTAAATAGTTCTAGTGATTTAATCGCTTATTTAAACGAAATTTATTCGAAAATTCAAGGCTTTTGATTGGTTCATATTATAATGAGGGAAATAATCACATTTATTTTAAGAAGTTAGGAGAATTAGTTTATTTTTTTATTTTAGTTTTTACAGAGAATTTTTTATGTTGAAACGTTTTTTTTTAAAGAAAACACTTTTAGTTAAATGCAAAATAAATAATCCTTTTACACCTTTAATTAATAATTTACTGTTAAAAGTGATTACCTATGTTACATTTTAAGTATCTGAATCATTTTTAAAACTAAATTAACTTATTAATGCGTAATTCGTTTTAATAATCCGTGGCAAACTTCGATTATCGAACAACGCCGGCGAAGGATCTACTGCTGAATTACGAAAACCGTCTCTCGGCGTCTCCCACTCTTAAACATTATTCTCCCACTCTTAAAAACCGAATGTCTACATGTAAAATGAAAGTAAGGTATATGTACAGTCCGTTCAGGCCAAGTTGAGCGCTTTGGTGGGGGATCATGTGGCCGTTAATTAAATTAAACATCGCATCGTAGCGAGATTTCGGTAACAAAAAGATGATTTATCAGTGCCGCGGCTTTCCGTTTGTTCGTACAGAGCGGCTACCGAAATACATGTATTTAATTGTGCCTGAACATAGAGATGATGGACGGTGTGACATTCCTTAGGCAGCTCAACTTAGCCTGAACGGACAGTACTACATACTAAAAGTTTCTTAACCTACCTTCAATTTGCTTGCCGGCTGCCGCCATCGCGGCCGCGTTGATGGTCGCGTTGGTGATGAGCGAGCCGTACGAGCTCAGGTCCGGCGCCGACATGCCCGTCTGCAAGCCGGCCGCAGTCAGTGTCCGATCGACGCCCGCACTTTTGCCCAACAAGTTGGCCATGCACAGTGGCGTCGCGGCCCCGTTGGGTTGCGACATCGCCGCCAAAGTCACTAAGTTTTGAACACCGATCGGCGCCAACAGGTTCTCGGTGAGCAGCTGTTGCTGCTGCAGCAGCGCCGAACCGCCCATCGCCGTCAGCAGCTGCAGCTGCTCGTTGGGCATCACCGGCGAGTACTGCTGCGGAGGCGATTGAAGCTGAGGCGCGGCCAGAGCGTTCCACACCGTCGCCTGCATCTGCTGCTGACGCTTCAGTTCCTTTAAGCAAGAAGAAATCAATGTAATCGACGAGTTTTAACCAAGGGTTTATTTTATCAGCACTCAAGGAAAAAAGTATTTGTAGTTAAAATGACAGCTTAAGTAAATTTCTCATGTTATAAAAACTTAACTTATTTAAATGGTATTTCTAATTTCTTTATCAAATTCAATACATGTTAAACAAGAAAATATCACTTGAAATGTTCAATAAACATTCTTTATCCAGTAAGCTTTTCAATTATTTGGGGAGATATTGTTTGTACCTTATATGTTATATGTACTGTTATAATCAGATTTGTTAACATGAGTTTTTAGTTTGTTAATTTTATTTTGTAAAATTTTAACATAATTTTTTGTAGAAAACCAGGGTTTCTAATTATTTTAAATTTTAAATATTTTACCGAAAATTTTGGAAAGCTATAGCTATATTATAATATGCAATTTTGTAAGCTTTTTATTAATTTCAAACACAAATTATTTTGTTAATGTTCAACAAATTATTTGTTTGAAAAAGTACACGTGATTTCAGGCAGTCAATCAAAACATTTCCCACTGACAATACGCATCAACAAGTTCAACTTACTTCATCGTCTGCAACTTAGACGTTTCACATGCGACTGATAAAGTCCTGACGGTCAGTCCTGATGACTAGGGGCCATTGTTTAAATGAACTTTTACACATGCACTGCGTATCATCGGTTTACTGATTCGTCGGCACGGGCATCGGGACACCCTGTGCGCACTGCGTACCGTCAGGACTATTAAGAGCCGTTTCACATGCGACTGATAAAGTCCTGACGATCAGTCCTGATGGTCAGTCCTGATGACTAGGGGCCATTGTTTAAATGAACTTTTTCACATGCACTGCGTATCATCGGTTGACTGATTCGTCGGCACGGGCATCGGGACAGCCCGTGCGCACTGCGTACCGTCAGGACTATTAAGGGCTGTTAATTATATGGAGTATTTCATATGGTACGTACGGTCAGCAGAAACAGTGTTGCACAATGAGTAGTTTACGCATTGATACTGAAATTGTAATAAATAGCATCGAACAGCGAAGATGCATCTGGTATGCAGATGATGAGAACTACAAAAATAGGGATGCAAAGAACAAAGCATTTGAAGAAGTAGCGTAAATAGTAGTTCCGGATTTTGAAAATTTTGCGAAAGCAAAGAAGAACTTTTTTGCGTTGTATTATTCTCTTTATACAAAAAGCGGCAACAGCGCAGTTCCGGAGGCGCTGAGAACCGTCTCGTAGTAGACATTTCCGTACTATACGTTGCTTGTGAAACAATGGTCATGACCGTCAGTCCGTATCATCAGGACTGATCGTCAGGACTTTATCAGTCGCATGTGAAACGGCTCTAAGGGCTGTTATTTGGAGTATTTTATATGGTACGTACGGTCAGCAGAAACAGTGTTGCACAATGAGTAGTTTACGCATTGATACTAAAATTGTTATAAGTAGCATCGAACAGCGAAGATGCATCTGGTATGCAGATGATGCATACTAAATAGGGATGTAAAGAACAAAGCATTTGAAGAAGTAGCGGAAATAGTAGTTCCGGATTTTGAAAATTTTGCGGAAGCAAAAAAGAACTTTTTTGCGTTGTATTATTCTCTTTATACAAAAAGCGGCAACAGCGCAGTTCCGGAGGCGCTGAGAACCGTCTCGTAGTAGACATTTCCGTACTATACTGTGCTTGTGAAATAATGGCCATGACCGTCAGTCCGTATCATCAGGACTGATCGTCAGGACTTTATCAGTCGCATGTGAAACGGCTCTTAAGTTTTTGCTTACTTTATTCTAATTCGTAACGTGTTTGTAACAACTGCCCAGAGTATTTATAATATATTACCAGCAATCTGTTATTATTTAACAAGTGTGCGACGTGCGAAGTATCCGAAAAGAGATGACATAACTGGTTTTCAAACTGAAATTAGGGGATACAGTGAAGTGGGTTCAAGTTACAAAATACATCAGTAAGGGCCGGTTTATCAATGTCCAGTTAAAGTTGCAGTCTGAAAGATAATTTCCATGGATACCATTGTTCTCACAACGATCGATATGGAATTTAACTGTCAGATAGATTAACTGGAACAAGAGATTGATAAACCGACCCTAAGTATTGTAGTAGTACTGATAATTCTATTGTACCAAATTTCTTTATAATTTAATGATTTCAGAATGGTGTGTTATTTAATTTTGTGTTTGTTATTTTTGTGTTCATTTATGTAGGTATTGTTTATGTGTACAAATACTTTTGTAACTGGGTCTACAAAAGAATCATCAATTATTGATGTAGGATTTTGTTATTAAATCTACAGTCATCTAAGTTTGCTATAATTATAAACTACTTATTCAATTAGTTCAGATTACAGTTGGTTGTAAACATAACATAAAGTTATGTCGACCTGAATTAACATAAAATCTGGTTAATATTTGGATAAAATTAACAAATATTTTTTTACTGTGTAGTCAATTTTCTGAGTGCTGATGGTTAATTTAAAATATAGTAACATTTACATACCAAAACCTTTTTCTGATAACATTTCGTCATATCCAAAATAACTACGTAATTATTTTTCAGGATAATTTGAACTTAAATTTTCTAAATTTTAATCGAAATTATTATTAATTTAAATAAGTTACGCAGTACCAATAACACCCGTGGTTTAACATAAACATTTTTATAAGAAATAATTGGTAAACCATCCACACATCGTGTTATTGGAACTGTTTCTTTGGATACAACAATTTGTTTAAAATACATACATTCTTTACCTTTTCTTTTTGCGTGTCAGCAAATTTGACGACGAGCGGCGCCGAGCATCCCTCCATCGTTTGCGACTGGTGCAGCGACTTGATCGCGCTCAGCGCAGACTGTTTGCTCGCGAAGGTGACGAACGCGCAGCCCCGCGAGTTGCCGGTCGGATCGCGCAGCACCGTGCACTCCTCTATCACCCCGTGCCCGTTGAACAGGTTCCTCACGTCGTTCTCGCACAGCTTTTTGCTTAACATTCCGACAAATAATTTTCGTTCTGAAATGAGAAAATTACACAATTATGAACATTTTATAGTAGGTACGTAGTGCTTTTCTTTGTACACTGTTATAAAAATAGAGTCTGTAGTTTCTTAGTTTTTTATAGATAACCAGGGATTGTAATTATTTCAGTTTCAAATCAAACGGGTAAGAGAGTGGATGTGTAGTTCGAGCGCTCTTAGTTCCTATCCACAATAAAATTCTTAAAGAAACATAAATATTATATATAATATATATATATATATATATATATATATATATATATATATATATTTGGCCAGCATACAAAGTGAGGACTTGTCTTAGCACGTATATTATGAGGACCGGTAGAAGAAGTCAAAATAGAAACACAATTAATATTAAGTTACGCTTAATATTAAATTAGTAACGGGCGGGTAAAGAATATACACGTAAAATGTTCATTTAAATATTTTCGAGTATATCAGAACAAAGTGAGGACCGTATATCTGTCTATTCAAGTGAGGACCGTTTATAATTTTTTATGCCACCCATTTTATGAGGTCCATCGTACTTTTGTAAAACTGTGTAACAGTTGGCAATACCACAAAGAAATTACATCCTTGGACAAATATACAAAAGTTATATACAAAAGTGCTCTTTTAGTTCCACCCTTACTTTCTAAAAAGTCCCAAAAGCCAACTGAATGGCATGAGCGGGTTAGGGGTAGGAACGGACCGCGGGCTTAAAGGGCCCTCCACCTTTACGGGTTAACATATGATTAGACGTATTAATATTTATTAGATATTTTGTTATTTATTATACAGGGTATTAATTTTAAAACTTCCCACACTAAATTTCTCTTAAACTGAAAGGTTTATGAAAAAAAGCCGAGACATGTAAAGTTTAATATCCAGGGGTACAATTTTGCATGACAAAAATTGGTTTCCCACCCTTACCCTCTGCGCCCTTAAGAATTTAAATAGGTATCGAGTAATACATCATTTTAAAGATCTTTGAAGTCGTACACCCTTACTTTCTAAAAAGTCCCAAAAGCCAACTGAATGGCATGAGCGGGTTAGGGGTAGGAACGGACCGCGGGCTTAAAGGGCCCTCCACCTTTACGGGTTAACATATGATTAGACTTATTAATATTTATTAGATATTTTGTTATTTATTATACAGGGTATTAATTTTAAAACTTCCCACACTAAATTTCTCTTAAACTGAAAGGTTTATGAAAAAAAGCCGAGGCATGTAAAGTTTAATATCCAGGGGTACAATTTTGCATGACAAAAATTGGTTTCCTACCCTTACCCTCTGCGCCCTTAAGAATTTGAATAGGTATCGAGTAATACATCATTTAAAAGATCTTTGAAGTCGTACGGTGTTTTAAATCAGTCTGTTCGTTTTTAATATATTTTAGAAAAAACATTCTTAGGAGACATAATAGAAAAAAATATTGTAATAAATGCTCAAAAATTTGGTTACCCAACCTTACACCCTGCACCCATCAGATATAGGAGTAATACATTTTTTTTTTAAATCCCTATAAATCGGTATTTTTTTTAAATCGTTCTGTTTATTTTTGAGATATTTCAGAAAAAACATTAAACACAATGTATTGGAATACACAATATTTGTAATGTAAGAATTAACTGTATAGGTTATTTTAATTCTTTTTTTTATATTACAAAAAAAGTTTCCTAGTTTTTACAGTAAATCGAGGTCTCTGAATCCGATTTACACAAAATGTTTGACTTTAAATTTTGGTTTCTGAATGCCCAAGTAAATCAATGTCTAAATATATAAATATATTTAAAAAAACGTTTAACCTAAAGGATCTTGAAAAAATATTGGTTTACGGATACCACTTGTTTTATTGTAAATTGAGGTGTCTAAATCCGATTTCGATAAAATTTTTGACCTAACAGGCCTTCAGAATATTTTGGTTTCCGGATATCCGAGTCACCACTTGTTTTATAGTAAATTCCATTTGGATAAAATTTTCAAAATTTACAACTAGCACTAAACTGGGCGGAAATTTAATAATTAAATAATATTAGTTGCGGTCGCGGCGCGATAATCTTCATGTTAGCCAACTATAGCTAGTTTAATAATAATTAATTATTAATTATGAACATTAATATAGTTCTACACTATTTTATTCAGTTTTTTTAACATTTGATTTGTTTATTAGTGTTTTTGATTTTTTGTAAGGCCTATAGGCCCATACGGTATATATACATTTGATTTTGTCTTAATAAAGAATTAATAAAGAGTTCAAATAAACTAAAAAACACAAACCGGCTCTTTTATACAAAAAAACACGCTTTTAAGCACTAAAAACTTCAAAATAATATAATTTAATTAAAAATATTTTGTTCCGATGGACAAGGTTTCAAAAAACTTACGCCAATGCTTGGCTGGAGATTTGTCATCCAAAAATAAGAAAAAAGTTCATACAAACGTAGTGCCAGAAATGCTTAGTTTTAAAGATACACATTTTTTTCAAAACTTTTTTAAAATATCTTAAATATCGTTTGCCAGGTTTTTTTGAAAGTTGGCAACGTTATTTATTGCTTTTGTTAATTTTCTTCAAACCCCTTGATTAATTAAAAAATAATAGGAAGTATTTTTTGTTTAGCTTAAAAAAGGTGCAAAATATGGGTTTTGTTAATTTTCATGCAATAATATTGTTTTATTTTTACGAGGTAATAAACAACTTGGGAGACCAAAAAGTTTTTTAGTGGCTTGATCATAAAAAAATATATAAAAATAGCAAAAAAAGTTTAGCTAGTATAAATAACGTTGCCAAATTTCAACAAAATCGGGAAAACGATATTTAAGATATTTTGAAAACTAAACATTTCCGAAACTATGTTTATTAAGGTCATATAACTTTTTTTCCTATTTTTCGATGACGAATCTCCAGCCGAGCATTGGCGCATGTTTTTTAAACACCCTGTATAAACTTACCTATCACTTCAATGACTATACCAAAAAGAGTTTGTAGCTATATCGAAATTATATTTTGCCTCAAAATTAATGAATGCATATTATGCATTGCCTAACTGACATATATAAACTGCTTCATCGTCTTCACTTTCAATTAATTCTTAAAAATAAAAAAAATTCTTTCGGTCAACGCGTCAGTATTGCAAGGTGCCGCCATATTGTATTTAGTATGACTTAACTTAATTTATCTTTTTTTTTTCAAACCCTTTCATTTGATACCCATGTCAAGGAGGTTCTAAAGAAATAGGTATTCTGCACCCATGGGGCGGCCTTCATATTGGATTTAGTACGACGTCACTTACTTTATTGTTTTTTATTCGTCAAACCCTTTCAATTAATACCCATGTCAGGAAGGTTGTGAAGATAAAGGCAATCTTCCATCTTGGATTTAGTATGACTTTATTTAATTTATGTTTTTTTTTTGTCAAACCCTTTCATTTGATACTTATTTTAAGGAGGTTGTAAAGAAATAGGTACCTATTCTGTCACCTTGGGGTGGTCTCCATATTGGATTTGATTCGACGTCACTCACCCTATTGTTTTCTACTAGTCAAGCCCTTTTATTTGATACCCATATCAAGTTGTGAATAATAGATAAATCGCCATCTTGGAGCGGATGACATATTGGATTTAGTATAACGCCTTATCTTCAAAACCTTTCATTTGATACCCAAATCAAGGGGGTTGTAAAGAGAAAGGTAATCCTATACTAAATTGTACTGTCTTCAGCACCTAAAGTATGTGCAAAATTTCAGCTCAATTGGTTAAGTATAAGTTGGTTAAAATCCACTTGTGGACACTATTACAAGGGAAGCTAATATAACCTAATCGCTATGTTTTGGTCTAGCCAATTACTTTATATCTATAATAATAATATAATATTTGGAAAAACATATCTAGTGGTCTCTAACAAACCACTTAGTAGCGGTTAAAGGTTAAAGCAGTTTTCCGCCAGATTACTTAAAGAATCAATACCCTGGCACAGATCAAACCAGACAAAAGACAAATTAAAATTATAGTCAACAAACCATTCCTAGCATTTAGTGAGGACCGTTTACAGTTGTCAATTTTATGGTCCTCACTTAATGCGTAGAAAGTTGCTTATAAGCACCTAAAAATATACGTCTTGAAAATATACTCAACAAGAAGCGCCACCAAGTTGCGGTAGCAGCGCCACCTAGTAGCGGTTTAAGAAACTAAAATGTAAAGTGAGGCTTTTTTTATGTCTTACTGAAACAACATTTTATGTAACACAGAAGCGTTCAGGCATAAAATTATTGCTTTGACAAAGTGAGGACCATATACGGTACTCACTTTGCCATGGACCTCACTTTAATAGTAAATTACCTTCGAAAGTGGCTCACTTTGTATGCTGGAAGTAAATATTATATATATATTATATATATATATTATATATAATATATATATATATACAGTGTAGTCGAGTAAATTGCGGTGCGGAACAGTGCTACTATTTTAGGTACTACATACCTGTACAGGTGAAATCAGGGTACCTGTTCTCCAAAGGGTTTATAGAAACATTAAATATTTCCTCAAAAGGCAATCTCTCAACGGTGAACACAGGGGTGAGGTCCGTGCGGACACGGAAGTAATAAAGTGACAGGGGACAGGTCAAGGAATCACCTATTTAAAGAAAAAACGAGTCTAACCAAGAGTGGAAGGGATCATCACCTGCAGATTCTGATAAGTATCATTGCATGACCTAATACCCAAATCTGTAACAAAACCTGGCAACAATTAATCATTACCGATAACAGCGTAGGAGTGTAAAAAAACCAAATCAAGTAAGAACGTCACAATATTATATTATTGTATTACATATATTATATAATATACGCATAAACTTATAGCCCAGCCAAAAATTAAAGCTATAAAAGATAACGAAAGTAAATAAACAAAACGACCACGTTAAAATAAGTTACACGCCTGCCATTAGGGCCGTATTTCAAATTTTATTACGATACACCACAGGGCCGGCTTTATCTATTTTGTATATTAATA